AAATTCACAGTAACCCGAAATTTGACATTTTCTGGAGAAATTACTGTAATTGGTGATCGTTATCGGTAGACAGCGGATTTTTCTGCAAACTAAAAATAGCCCGCAATAATTGCAAGATACAGGAAGATACGTCGAAACGTTCTTTCATCGAGTACTTTATCAAGTTGATATTAATTAATTAAGTTGATAGTACTTTATCAAGATAATGCGGCAGTATTTTTAAATTCTCTTGAACGATGAGATTGCCCGCGGAAGGTCATTATCCAGTCAACGTACAAGTAAACATACATGTGTTCGTTCGCAGTAAAAAGTTTATTGCAAAATCTTAAACGCATCACTTGTTTTTTTATGCATTGTTTTTAAAAACAGCGAAGATACTTCAGAGATACAAATGCATACGTGTAGTGGGTGTAGAAAGTATTCGTACACCTTTTAAAACAGAATAACTTTGTAATAATTAGGCCAAGCGGTCTACATTTTTTTGGGATGATAATGGGATTAGTCTACTAGACATGCATACAAGTTACCGAAATCTACAAAATGCATTTTTTAAATTTTCGTTATAGCCTCAGATAAAAAAAAGTTAAAAAAACATAATCTTTTCACTCTTTTACCAATCCAACAAACTGCAATTTTTGTAAATAATTTGTTTAGTCATTGTTTAGTAAACCAATCTCTCTAATATCCCCCAAAAAATTTGGACCGCTTGGCCCAATCACAATAATGTTATTACGTTTCGAAAGGTGTACGAATACTTCCTGCACCCACTGTATGTACTTATTGGACCGACTGTAATGCCAGTCGCGTTTTCTTTTCGTTAGTTCAAGCGTTTATTTCGGTGATAGTTGTTTCGCTTAAACCGGCGTACTCGATGTTCGACCGATCGGAGATCGCAATATCGAAATCTGTGTCAGATTCTTGTACGAAGAATCTCTTGTTGTCGCGGGGAACGAGATCGCTCGTCGAGCGCGGGCTTAATCGGCGGAAACGGGCGAACAAAAATTTAAATAAACCGACGACGCGGCGTGGGATTTAGCTAGGTGGCGCGAGCGATCGTGCCGCCGATCTCGGGATCGGGATCGAATTCGTCGGGACCCATTTGTTTTTCGATGGAAGGAACGGCCGGGTACAATGGCGGGCACTGAGGCGAGCACGGCGCCGCGTACGGCGTTGCCACGGCGCGGCGCGGCGTTGCCGCGGTGTAATCGTGGATTCGATCTGGGGAATCCGATCAAGGGTTCAAAGCGGAAATCGAGAGGCGCGTCGAAATCCCCGGGATCAGCGGGAGAGCGAAGTTGAAACGCGGACAAGAATGCCGGCGAGCTTTTCTTTGCGCGACTGCTCTTCTGAATCAGCCGCGTGCACCGGAGCACTTTCGCAATGGAAAATTCTCTTTCGTTAGTTTACTAGACCATGCGCTCTCGTATACTACGCTTCGGAGCTTTTCAGTTCAAGAGTGGTTAAGACGAGTTCACCCCAAGTAACCACCGTCAAGATACACGCTTGCTTTTCCACCGCGGACACGTTCATTTCCTGTATTCTGCTTTTCTGCCGCTTTCCTTCCTTCCTTCCTTCCTTCCTTCCTTCCTTCCTTCCTTCCATCCTTCCTTCTTTCCTTTCTTCCTTCCTTCCCCCCTTCCTTCCTTCCTGACATCCTTCCTTCCTTCCATTCTGCTTTCCTTCCTTCCTTTCTGCCTTCCTTCCTTCCTTTCTGCCTTCCTTCCTTCCTTCCTTCCTTCCTTCCTTTCTGCCATCCTTCCTTCCTTCCTTCCTTCCTTCCTTTCCTCCTTTCTTCTCGATCGAGCGAAGTGTTGTCGATCGTCGCAAGCGTAAATAGCTCATTCAACATTTAAAATGACGAGGAAACACAACACGTTTGGAGCGATGTCGAGTCCTTTCTTTCGCGGCACAGCAGTCGGGAATAAATAAATTCCGAATCTTTGTGCAATCGAGAATAGGATCTAAAACATCTGATCGAACATTCCGAAGACGTAAACACAGTAGCGATCATATGTAGTAGACTTAAGACCACTTGAAAAACGGTATAACTTCTTTAAAACTGAACTAAACGACTTGAATTTTTCGTTTAAATGATAGAGAGATCAGTCTGCTAAACAATGACTTTAATACCTTTTTTAAACTTTGCGATTACTCGGAATGAGAAAAAGATTTAAAAACTTATATTTTTTCCAACTTTCTTATCTGAGCTTGTAACGAAAATTTAGAAAATGCATTTTGTAGATCTTGATGAGTTATATGCATGCTGAAAATTTCATCGAAATCGGTTAATGCAAAATCAAATTACAAGTGTCAAAAGATTTCAAAAACTGCAAATTTCTCACACTTATTGGTCGAAAGTGTCAAAATTCGAAACAAAATTGAAATTTTTGCGATGTTTAATTTCTTACAGCCCCTGTCAAGGTCAATCGATATCGACGAAATTTTCAGCATGCATGTAACTTACCGAGATCTACAAAATGCTGTTTTTAAATTTTTGTTATAGAATCAGATCAAAAAGCTGAAGAACACAAGTTTCTTACATTCTTTTCTCATTCCAAGTAATAGCAAAATTAAAAAAATGTATTAGAATCATTGTCCAGTAGACTGATCCCACTATCATCTAAAAAAAATTCAAATCATTCAGTGCAGTTTTAACAAAAGTTATACCGTTTTTCAAGTGGTCTTAATTATATGTCCGCTACTGTATGTACGAATAAGTGAAAGCGTCCTGTAGTTGAAAATCGAGCATTCGTTCTACCATGAAAATCCGACCAGGAGCCGATTATGCATTTTCTCGCGAACGATAACACTGTCCGACACGAATTTTGATTTCCTATAGCCACTATGAAATTCTTGTAGAGCTTCACTCCCCGATCAAGGATCCGAAAACCGAATTGCTCCATCACCCTCAGAGTTTTCGACAAAATACGAACGTTTGTAAAAGCTCAAAATTTTTGACAAAAATGAGGTATTGCATGAAAAGTAAAAACGTTAGAAAGTTCTAATTTTTTAAACTTTGACGTTAATTTATTGCTATTTACGACCAAAAACAATTAATAAATTGCATGCCACTATATTCGGGAAACTCTCCTCTATCTTTTAACACCGATTAGAACTTTCTATCGTTTTTACTTTTCATGCAATACCTCATTTTTGTCGAAAATTTTGGGTTTTTACGAAAGCTCGTTTTTTTTCGAGAACTGACAGTGATGGAGCAATTCGGTTTTCGGATCATTGATCGGGGAGTGAAGCTCTACAAGAATTTTATAGTGGCTATAGGAAATCAGAAAGATAGTTTGATTTTGTCGGACAGTGTAGCCGCGATGCTCCGAAACGCTTGATACAGTAATGTCTCTCTAATTGACGCTCAGATTGTCCACAAATAATTGACAATTTGGAAAGAGGAGATGCGATTATTCGAGCCTTGCAGTTCGTTTTCATAGTTACGAATTATCAAGAAATATAAAAATGAGCTGCAAGGCTCGAATAATCCTGTCTCCTCTTCCCAAATTGTCCATTTTTGTGCGCAATCCGAGCGTCAGTTAGGGAGACATTACTGTAGTCGTCTTTATTTCCTACGCACGACAGTTCTGCCAGTTTGGCGCAGTTGCGCTACGGCCCAGTGGAAAATTGCTGCCGATGAAAGAACGTTCTATCGCCGAGGAGAAAGCCGGAGAGAAAGAGCGGAGTGCCGGCGAAATCCAAAGTAAACGAGAAACAACAGACACGGGTTTTTGTCGAATCACTGAAAGCGCCGCGCGCCGAGACCGATGAAACCCAGATAGGCGAACCCATAAATCTTTCAGCATTTAATCGTCTTAATAGCTGTGTGTCCACCGAGATCGGAGAAACGGCAGTTCAAACAGCAGGACGTTCCTCTTATAATGAACCGAATGCTACGCGCGCAAAACGGCGGAAAACGAAGACGTCGACTGGGAACTTCCCTCTGCTGCTCCAACATCGAGTCGAAGAGTCCGCGAACTGACGTATTTTAATTCTTACGGAAGTTTGTAGCTTTCCAAAGTGTCTCGCGTCCCACAGCGCGTCCACTTTGCGTAAGATCTCGAGAGATCGCTTAAGCGAATAGCAGTCAGTTAGCTTCAGATTATTTAATCCTCTATCCCCTCCCCGCCCTTCCGGTCTTCTCGATTTTCTCTATTTTTGTCTCGGCAGGGTGAACGAGATTAGATCAACGTATTTTCGCGACATTCAAATTTTTTGCACCGGATTGCCATACATTATTTGACACGTCCTCTATCCCCTTCCCGCCCTTCTGGGCTTCTCGATTTTCTCTATTTTTCTCTCGGCAGAGTTAATTAGATTAGATCAACGTATTTTCGCGACATTCAAATTTTTTGCACCGGATTGCCATACATTATTTTACACGTCCTCTATCCCCTCCCCGCTCTTCCGGTCTTCTCGATTTTCTCTATTTTTGTCTCGGCAGGGTGAACGAGATTAGATCAACGTATTTTCGCGACATTGAAATTTTTTGCACCGGATTGCCATACATTATTTGACACGTCCTCTACCCCCTCCCCGCCCTTCCGGGCTTCTCGATTTTCTCTATTTTTGTCTCGGCAGGGTGAACGAGATTAGATCAACGTATTTTCGCGCCATTCAAATATTTTGCACCGGATTATCGTACATTATTTCGTCTCGACAAATAGAAACATCGCGGTGAACAAAAATGAAGAGACATTCGATTCAACGACGTGTGTTCGTTGTTTAAAATTATTACAAATTTGGTGACCGTACTGCCGAAGTTGGAAGAAAATTTCGAACAGAGTATGGAAGAGAAATCTGTCCAACAGACACACACAAATCGAAAGAGCAATTAATGGTTATGGTTCACTTGCAGATGAAGTTAGTGAACAAATATCATCGTAGCGTTTTCTTCTTTTTTTTAAAGAACGAACATTAACTTTGAAATACGCGAATACTCGAGACGCTGGGACTGGGCGTGACGAAGTATAACGATCACGTTGTTTGATTTTCAGGTGGTATAGCATCATGTTCAAGAAATTTTCGAACCGACTTTCTGGAGGAGTGGCCAACACCTGGAACGGGTCCCCATTTCGACACCTCTATGCAGTCGAACTTCACCGGACTGGTGGGCAAAGCGGTGAATCTAGTCTGCAAAGTGAAGAACCTTGGAAATCGAACGGTGAGTTCCGACGAGTTTCTAAACTTCTAGTTTCTGTTATGTCGCCACGACACAACGGGAGGAGAGTTTCCCAAGAAATATGAGGGTTCTTATTCTGATCGAAGAATTTACCAAGAATCGTTCTGGATTAAACTTCCTTCATTTTAGTAATTATTTCTGAGCGCGTTGATGATGCGAATAGATCTGAGGATCGGTGTCTCGTTAGACGCATGTTTCGCAGAAAACTGCACTGGTGAAGGTTTTGAAGGGCTCTGGGCTGAGAGAAAGTTGATGTATAGATATATAGGATGTCTCAAAATTATGGCACTTCCGGGAAATATGGGGTTCCTAAGGTCATTTGAAGTAACTTTTTCCTTAGCGAAAATGCAATCCGCGACTTCGTTTGCGAGTTATTAACTAAAAACATTGACCAATGAGAGACGAGCTTGTCTAGCGCTAGGCTGCCGAGCCAACGAGTGGACGAAGCCCAGTTCCGCTGATTGGCTCGGTCGCCTGGCGCTAAGCGAGCTCGCTTCTCATTGGTCAATGTTTTTCGTTAATAACTCGTAAACGAAGCCACAGATTGCATTTTCGCTAAGGAAAAAGTTACTCCAAGTGATCTTAGGAACGCTACATTTCCCGTAAGTACCATAATTTTGGGTCACCCTGTATAAGTTCTTGCTTGAGTGACGGGGATTAGGAAATCATAAGGCTTAGTATGGTAAAGTCAAAATTTTGAATTATGAGAATGAGTCATGGGTGAAATCATGGCTTGCAGAAGATTTCGGGATGTTCGATAAGAAGATAATGGAATGACATTGGTATACAATGATAAGTGATGATCGCGGAATGACGTTGATATACAATGTAACATTAATAGTAATAAGTGATGTACAATAGTATAATAATAATAATAATAGTAATAACATACTAATACTAATAATAATAACTACTAATAAAAACTAATAATAACTAATACTAATAACAGTAATAATAATAAGAAGAAGAAGAAGAAAAAGAAGAAGAAATCTAATTAGAATGTAAGAATGTAACATTAACAGTAATAAGTGATGTACAATAGTATAATAATAATAATAGTAATAACATACTAATACTAATAATAATAACTACTAATAAAGACTAATAATAACTAATACTAATAACAGTAATAATAATAAGAAGAAGAAGAAGAAAAAGAAGAAGAAATCTAATTAGAATGTAAGAATGTAACATTAACAGTAATAAGTGATGTACAATAGTATAATAATAATAATAGTAATAACATACTAATACTAATAATAATAACTACTAATAAAGACTAATAATAACTAATACTAATAACAGTAATAATAATAAGAAGAAGAAGAAGAAGAAGGAAAAGAAGAAGAAGAAAAGAAGAAGAAATCTAATTAGAATTCAAGTGGTGAAGTAAGACGTAACAGTTTCACTATTCGGAGGATGCGTTCTTCGACCACGCGCCGATGTTAATTACAGCGTTGCTAAATTTGCAATTTGCGAATTCACTTTAAAACGCATGAAAATCCACGGCCGTAATTACAGTGGTCTTCGGACAGGCGACACGGTACGGCAATTTTCGGGATGGAAGGCAGCCTGCGTCCGAAACTCCCGAAGCCGTTTAATTATCGATATCCGATCGATCAGGCAATCGGTCGATCCCTCGTTTGGCAGGTCGTCGTATCGGAAACGCGGATACAAAGGTGAATATCCGTTTCGACGGTTGACGTCGTGTTTCTAAGCGGCCGCTGGATCGGCCTGTGGAAGGCGATACAGTCGGAGAGCTTTCGAAGGCGACGAGGCATAGAGCTGGCGTGTTCCGTCGGAGCGGAGCAGCTAACAACGCGTTGTTAATACACCGCCCCGACGATAATAGCGGTGTTCATTAGTAGGCGTATAAATACCGCGAGCTAATAAGCGGTAGTTTGACTTCGGCTCGAAGCTCGCCCGAACAGAAGCGCAAGTAGAATCGCTTCCAGACTCTTCGCGGGGGTCAATAGCGTAACTGCTGAGGTTTCGGAACGCGAAGCCGCGGGTCGAACAATTCCATTGTCACGCGTTCGCCACGTATCCACGAAGCCGGTGAGACCGATAAAACCGGTTCCATGTTCCGTATACTTGTTAGCTCAGAGCTCGAGGCCTGACTTGGCCGTTTGACGCTTCACGCCGACTGCCGTTTGTTAACAAAAAATATATGGTAAGGCGATAACAGTAATAATAATGATGATGATAATAACAACAATATGTTAGTTCAAAATGGTTGTATAGATATGGCCCCAATCACGGGGCTTCGCGTGACGTTCAGTGAATTCAGTGACATTTTATGAAAAAGTCAACTTTTACAAATCGGTAATTATTCAATTTGTATTGCTTTACAAATAGGCTCTTTACTGGGCTTCAGAAATAAAATTGAATAAATATTTTAGTTACTATGAATATTTAAAGTTAAGCGCTTTGAAAGTAGAATATTTCGCCTAACAGAACTCCTCAGCTTCTTCGCAATGTGCTGATCATTGTGTTCCATGTTTTCTCTCAATCAGTTTTATATTAAAAAGATCGTACCTTTCTAATAAGAAATCATATATTTGTTTAGTCATTACCAATAATAATATATTTAAAAAGTAACATTAATTGTTACGTGACAAATTTCGAAAATTCACTATATTTGACGGAGGATATCTTTTGAACTCCTTCAGTATCTGTGTTCTAGCAAAATAGAATATTTTCTATACAACTTCCTTTATATAACTGTGAAAATATCGCGTCCCTAGAAACCAATTTGGAAGTTAGAATTATTTAAAAATGATCGCATCACGCGTCGGTCACAGACGCGCTCAGCCGTTAGTATTCCATAAAACATCACCTTTATGGAATATAAATATGAAACACATATTTAAAAAGTAAGAAATAGTTCGTATAATTACATTTAAACAATTTTTTAAAATCGAAAGTAGCAATGAAAATTTATTGATATTTATTGTCTAACAAATGCAAAAAATATACTAAATAAAATAAAAATTACTGTTAAAATAAATATGTATGTAATAATAATGTAAATAAATATGTATAATAATAATATAATATAAATATGTATGTAAATATGTATGTAAAAATGAAAGTTACTGTTTTTTAATTATTTTCAGTGATAATTTCATTGCAATATCTCAAATGGTTCAAAAGTTATAACAACTTGTCACTGAATCCTTCAAACCGGACCACTGCGCGGCGCTACAGCTCCGCCGTTTTTCTCTCTAATGCAGTTTCCTTTCTTCTCCGTCTTGCGTATTCGCGTGCTCGGTAAAAAGCTGGAAAGGACTCTCATTTTTCAAGCTGCAGCCGAGCTGCAATAGCCGCGAACAAAGCGTTCGACATCATTACACTGTTCCGCGCTTATCTCCGTAGGGCAGGGAAACGCGTGCGCGCTTATCTTACCAACAGCCTCGCGCGACTCGCACGCAGTCGAGACACGCACACGAATGCACGGCATGCATTTTATCCGGACAAAGATCGCCTGGTCCTTATTTTCCCGACATCTGCTCTCTTTCTTCTCCGTCTTCTTTTCCGATCCCATTTTCTCCGTTCTACTTGGTTCGCGGTGAGAGCCTGTAATCCCGGCGAGCATCAATGGGAACGGAAGACGACGAACGAGCCGGCGGACGGTCGCTCAACGACCGGTATACTCTCCATGCAAACAACGACGAGAGAAACTATGGGAAATGCGTCTTCGCAGCGGTCCAAGATGCATCGCCGAATGGACAAGATTCGGAAAAATCAACTTTCTATTTATAGCTACAGTCATTTATTCCAGAAATGTTCGAAGAAGGTCAGAGAATACTAAGTCGTGATTCATCGAGCCTCGCGGCTCGTTTTTATAGAAATCCGGGGCTGTTGGAAAAAAAGGCTACGGTCAACATGCCGGTGTACATTGGTATAAATACATAGTAACGCTAGAACAAAAACGATGACTTGACTTTTACGATTCGAAGGCAATTCGGAGGCCATATGCCATTATTCGAAGGCAATTCGGAGGACACATGCCACGATTCGAAGGCAATTCGGAGGACACGTGACATGATTCGACGGAAATTCGGAGGACACGTGACACGATTCGAATACAATTCGGAGGACACGTGACATGATTCGAAGGAAATTCGGAGGACACGTGACATGATTCGAAGGAAATTCAGAGGAGACGTGAAACGATTCGAAGGAAATTCGGAGGACACGTGACATGATTCGAAGGAAATTCAGAGGAGACGTGACATGATTCGAAGGAAATTCGGAGGACACGTGACACGATTCGAAGGCAATTCGGAGGACACGTGACACGATTCGAAGGAAATTCAGAGGAGACGTGACATGATTCGAAGGAAATTCGGAGGACACATGCCACGATTCGAAGGCAATTCGGAGGACACATGCCACGATTCGATGGTCAATATTTTGGCAAGATTCTTCTATGGTGAGGTAAGATACAACGGAAGTTAACCGAAAATACGTCGACGATATACAGGGTGCCCTAAGAATGTCTCGCAATCCGAAAATGGGAAATTCCTGAGGTCATTTGAAGTAACTTTTTCCTTTGCGAAAATGCAATCCACGGCTTTGTTTGCGAATTATTAACGATAAACACTGACCAATGAGAGGCGAACGCGGCTGACGCGAGGCGGCCAGGCCAACGAGCGCGCGAAGCCCAGTTACGCTGATTGGCTCGACCGTCTCGCGTCAGCTGATCTCGCGCTAGCCGAGCTCGCCTCTCATTGGTCACTGTTTTTCGTTAATAACTCGCAAACAAAGCCGCGGATTACATTTTCGCTAAGGAAAAAGTTGCTTCGAATGATCTCAGGAATCCACTATTTCTAGATTGCGAGACATTTTTGGGGCACCCTGTATATGTATTATATTATTAGCAGAGGAGTTCCACGAATTAACACTAGATTTACGAAGAACTGAAAGCAGCTGTTTTATGTTAGTTTATAAAAGTAACAATAAGACATTTATTCTGA